GATGGCCTCAGTGTAGCCCCCTGACTGTGGGAACAAGGAACGAGCCTTGGGGCCAGAATGGTAAACAAGTTATAAAAAGCTGCAGATCCAGAGGTGAGAAGGCTGGTTAGCCAATGACAGGTAAGATCCCCAGAGCGGGGCAACCTAAGACAGGCACAGCCGCCTGAGTCCAAGAAGAATGTTGTGAAGCAGCTGCTTCTCATACGTTCCGCCCTGATAAGCTATAAGGCTCGCTGGTGCCAAGACGAACATGTTTTACCAAAACATAAAGGGTCTTCTGACCTTGAGCCAGACACTGCCTGTTAACCATTTCCCTTAACATTCTTTGCTATGTAAGACTATGTAACTTAATAAAGCTTTAGAGTAGCCATCAGTGCTCTCCGCATAGGGTGTGTATGTGTACATTGATATTGCGACACCAACACTCAGGAACTCAGAGTGGGGGCCTGGGATGCAGGGAGGGGTGAACCACAGCGGCTCCATCTCCTATTTTCCCTGCACCCCCACAGCCTACAGCTCCTTTTCTGCATGTTGTTGGACACGGACATCTACTCACTGGGGAGGAGAAAGAAGGGTTCCATCCACAGAAAGTTGGAAAGTCAATGGATCAGAAAGCAAGAGGACAGGGGCCTGGGGAGTGGCAGCCCAACATTCATGTCACCACTGCAGGAACAAGCACCACACTGGCGCTGACAGTGCTGGCCAGCAAAGAGCTTCAAAATGTACCGCTTACAGAAGACTTCCTGTCAGTGCCTCAATCTGTCTACACGTTTTATTTCAACAGTCATCGCATCTTACTTTTTGAATGAGTCTCTAACTCATAAGGTTCCTTAACTTGACATGTGTGGATATCTTTTGTCAATGAAACACCAAGCTTCCTGAAGTCAAGCGTTACTTTACGTCGCTCAGAGAGGGGATGGAGCAGATGCTCAACATATTTTGCTGAATGAATACACTTACTGCGTACAACAGACCAAAAGCACGCTGTTTTTCTCTAAATGCTTATAATACAACACTCGAGGGGAAAACCAAGAGGATCCCTTTTCTTCCCAGAGCACAGGACACCAGAAGCAGCAAACTCAAAACAGGAGTGAGACAGCCAGCAATCCTTTCCCACGTCAGCTTCCCCGATCGTCCACTAAGCCAGCTATGCAGATCCAAGAAAAAGTGTGCGAGACTGCTGCGGGGGCACCAGGGAGCACAGCCCGACTGCAGGGAGCCCCACTAACAATCTCCACTCCAGGCCATTTGTTGGCAATAAAGATGAACAGTTGCACAAGACTGCAGCTTTGGGGTCTCTCCTTCCCAAAACTCACCCCCGCAATGGGACATTTCAGAGACACACTGGAGGATGGCTCTCATGGCCACAATACATCGAAATCGATGATCAGTAAAAGGAGGGCAATTGGAAGAGGATTTGTTTACTGTTAAGATAGAGCCTTGTGGGGAGGGTATAGCTCAGTGGTAGGGTATGCGCTTAGCGTGTACAAGGTCCTGGGTTCAATCCCCAGAACCTTCATTTAAAAAAAAAATAGAGCCTTACCTGCATTTCGTATCCTCTCTTTGTACTGCTGATCTAGTTTTTTCATCCTTTTCTGATATTCCTGTAATGTACCTGATTGAGATTTACAAAATAAAGAGTTACTCTGAAGATCAATCTGCTCTACATTTTGGTTCCTAAAATTATTTTCTAGCACCAGCAGTGACTGTTTCAGTCACAGAGTAAAACACAAACCATGGAAAGGTGCCTGTGAACAGAGCTAACCTGACTGCCAACCAAGGCACACAGCAGACATCACCCCAACCAGTGGATTAAGACTCTCTAGTAAGTGAGGAGGAGCAGAAAGGTGCAGATACCCCCCAGACATGCCCATCACTTGCTGCCACAGTTTCAGTCAGCGGGCCTCTCCTTCCTGGAAGCAGCTCACGCTCCCTCAGTAAGGTCTAGGTCAATGCCATTTAGTAGGACTCTGTGCAGCGATGGAAATGTTCTACATTGCCCTGTCCAACACGGTAGCCACTAGTCACTCATGGCCACTGAGCACTTGAAAAGAGGCTAGTGCAAGTGAGGAACTGAATTATTAACTTTATTTAATTAAACTTAAATAGCCGCATGTGGCTAGTGAGAATACTGGACAGCTCAGGTACAGATTACCAAATTTCTACTCGCTTCATTGCTCTTCCTCAAAGCCACTAGTTATGGGGATTCCAATTAGTGTGGGAGGTGTTTTCTGATCATCATGCTTAAGCAGGACGTATTAATGGCAACTTTTTAAAAACCCCTCAGTCAGGCCAGGCAGGCCTCACAGACTTGCTACAGTGAAACGAATTTCTTTCTCAATACTTTCATTACCATGGAGAGAAGAAAAAAAAACGATCTGTGACTGCAACTCATGGGAACATTTCTCACTATGAAGCAGAAATCAATATAAAATGGGCTGGTCCAAGCAATAAAAGTACCTCGTGGAAAAGCAGTTTCACTGCCGGGAACGCCACAAAATGAGGCCAAAGAGCTAATGACAGCAGCAGCCGTCCCTGAGTTGTCACTGGGCGCCCTGGAGTGCGAGTCACCCCTCACGCGTAAACTCATCTGCTTTCATTTTCTTCCACTTCACAGATCAGAAGACAAATTAAGCAAGAGACGGTGAGGTGCCCATGGTCAAATTTCTATGAAGTATTGAGGGAAGGACTTGAACTCGTGGTGGGACTTGAGAGCCTGTGCTCTTAACCCCTGTGCTGACCCACCTCTAGCAGGAAGCAGCATGCGGCAAGATACAACCCATTTGTGGTTCACGAAGCAAAAAAGAGAAAACAGTGCGGATAACCCCAGCTCAGGAGTGTTCGGTTTAGAAAGAACTGTTTATAAATAAATAAGTTATATTTATTCTTTGGTAACAGTATCTCTCCTGAAAATGGCTGGCTTTAGGCACAGTGGTTTTCGGTTCATGCTCCACGGAAACCCAAGCGAAATTTCGAAAAAGTAGGAAAACTGCCTCTTTACTGACTGCGAAAATCAGCCAGACCAAATTTTAAGTCACTCCCACTGAGAAGTGAAATACGTGGATTTCAAAGGTGGGCAGTATTAGTAAGTATACTTAGAGAAGGATTAAATCACACACCAACCTTCCTGAAGCTGTTGCAACTGTCTCTTGAGAGAAGCCAGTTTATCCTGATACATCCTGTAAAAAAGGAAAGCCACACTGAAAGGCAAAAACGTCCACCACCCAATTCAAAATAATCTACACAGAGGAATGAGCTGGGTTTTTATGGGAATGTCATTAACGTCCTCTAGGGAGGGAGGAAACTGAAGTCTGCTGCTGGTTTAAAATGGACCAGCAGCTAAAGGGGTCAGAAAGGGACAAGGATTCTGTGCCCCTGAATCGTATCCCAGTGTTGTAGACTCTTCTATGCTCTCTCATCTTTAGAGAATCAATCTAAAATCTACAAATACGAAGATGTGTGGATTTTCATTAATAAATGAAAGTGAGAAACAGAGCTAGACAAGGACACACAAAGGAAAATTGAAAGTGTGATGCGATTTTCTTCTGGATTTAGAAGCATAGGTAACATACACACAAAAATGCAGAAAAAGCATGAAACACAGCTCTTGTATCAGCTCTATAATTAGATTATAAGTTCCAAAGGAGTAAGATTATGCCTTCAACACATTTTTCTATTTAGATAGCATAACTGTGTAAGCACTAAGTTAATAAACCTCATGTCATTTTTAAAAACACTACTTTTTCATGATCAGAGAAATAACAGCAATTCAGTAACAAAAGTTAAAATGCAGGATTTATTTGCAGCCTCAGCTGGATAAGAACACAAAGCAAAAGAACCCGGCAGGTTATTTTTGCCCCCTCACACTGAATGGATTATAGGCAATTATACACCCTGGTAAGTCTGACGGATTCCACACGTAAATCATATTTCAGCAATATTTTTACTTCTACCTGAAAAACACCTCTGATTTCACAGTGACAAAAACAAGACCTGCAGCCTGAAAGGACACTGTCCAACAGATAACAGGCATGACAGCCTTCTGACTGCTCAGGTAAGGACTGCAAAGACAACCCAACTATTTATAGGTTGAGGAAGAGCAGGCAGAATCCGAGAAGTACACGCAAGGTCTGATTCTTTTAGGGAGAATTCTGGTGTACTCTCAACGCTCAACTTGAATCACGAA